TTCGATTCAATTATAATAGACGATGATCTTCAGCTCTTGATCCGTCTTAAAAATGTCCGTAGGAGACAATTTCAAAGAACACGCGATCCTGCCATGAAAGTTATCTGGCGGGATTTGCAAAAACAAATTAAAAAGCGATTCTCTGCCCTGAGGAACAAAACTTTTGAAAATAATGTTTCTAAATTAGACCCGAGTTCCAAACCCTTTTGGAAACTCACAAAAATTTTGAAAAAACCTCAAAAGCCAATTCCAGCGCTTAAAGAAGGTGGTAAAATTTTGATCACAAATTTGGAAAAAGCTCATAAACTTGCTAAGCAATTCGAGAGTTCCCATAATTTCAGTTTGGGTCTTACTAGTCCTATTGAGAATCAGGTTGCTCGGGATTTTCGGAATATTTTCTCTCGGGAAAATATTTTTGATGATTCCTGGGGGACTGATTTGGACGAAGTAAGGTCTATAACTAAAAAATTTCAAAATATGAAAGCTCCAGGTGATGATGGAATTTTCTATATCCTCATCAAAAAACTCCCAGAGAGTACCTTGTCTTTCCTGGTAAAATTATTTAACAGATGTTTCCATTTGGCATACTTTCCTGATAAATGGAAAAATGCAAAAGTTGTTCCAATTTTGAAGCCGGATAAAAATCCAGCTGAAGCTTCTAGCTACCGTCCAATAAGTTTGCTTTCTTCAATAAGTAAACTTTTTGAAAAAATAATTTTGAATAGAATGATGCTTCACATCAATACGAACTCAATTTTTGCAGATGAGCAGTTTGGATTTCGCCATGGGCATTCAACTACTCATCAACTCTTGAGAGTTACCAATTTAATTCGTTCAAACAAATCTGAAGGCCACTCAACTGGAGTTGCTCTTCTAGACATAGAAAAAGCATTCGACAGTGTTTGGCATGAAGGTTTGATTGCTAAATTGAAAAAGTTTAATTTTCCACTTTACATTATGAAATTAGTTCAAAATTATTTAACTGACAGAACTCTGCAGGTAAATTATCAAAATTCCAAATCTAATCGACTACCTGTTAGAGCAGGAGTTCCTCAGGGTAGCATTCTTGGGCCTATATTGTATAACATTTTCACTTCGGACCTCCCTGATTTGCCTCAGGGTTGCCACAAATCTTTGTTCGCTGATGACACAGGCATTTCCGCTAAAGGAAGAAGTCTTCGTGTTATTTGCAGCAGACTTCAGAAAAGTTTAGATATTTTCTCTTCTTATTTACAAAAATGGAAGATTTCTCCCAACGCTTCCAAAACTCAACTTATAATATTTCCACATAAGCCCAGGGCTTCCTTTTTGAAACCTAGTAGTAGTCACATAGTCACTATGAACGGAGTTCCAATTTCCTGGTCAAACCAAGTGAAATATCTTGGATTAATACTTGACCATAAATTAACTTTTAAAGATCACATTGAGGGCATTCAAGCCAAATGTAACAAATATATAAAATGTTTGTATCCTCTTATTAACAGGAAATCCAAGCTTTGCCTGACGAATAAACTTCTAATATTTAAACAAGTTTTTAGACCGGCCATGCTTTACGCTGTGCCAATATGGTCTAGTTGTTGCACTACCAGGAAAAAAGCACTTCAAAGGATTCAGAACAAAATTCTGAAGATGATTTTGAAGTTGCCTCCCTGGTACAGTACTACCGAAGTACATAGAATTTCGAATGTTGAGACTTTAGCACAAATGTCCAACAAAATAATTAATAATTTCCGGCAAAAATCGTTACAATCCTCAATTGCAACGATCAATTCCCTTTATACTTAGATAAGATTTAGTTTTAGTTATTTAGTTTTAAGCTATCAATTGTTATACTGACATGCAGGTTTAAAAAACCTGTTTAAAATACTGAATTGCCAAGACAGGAACAATGTAAAAACACTTAGATATATATCATAACAATTAAGGCTGGTAAGTTACTGTAGTAACTAGAGCACCTAGGTTAAAAATGAAATGTAATTTATTTTGAATTTGGAACAAATAAAGAGTTAAAAAAAAAAAAAAAAAATAAAAAAAAAAAAAAAAAAAGATATTGTGGCAAGAAAGAAGGTTGATCTATAATTATTCCATCGACCTTCAGATAATCAAGAACCTGCATAATGTTCTCTGGATAATTTGGTGATTCATCTGGTTGATAAAATTTTTTCTGAAGATCTTTAACTGTTCAATAAATCATGTCTGTTAGATGTTCTCATATCATAGCAGGTTGATCAGGAGTTATTCCAGAGACCATCAGATGATCAAAGACCTGCATCATGTTCTCTGTATATATATTTTTATTCTGGAGGTCTCCAGGATAGTCATAAATTATTCCAAAAGCCTTAAATTTTTCAAAGACCAGCGTAAAATATGTACTTTGGATATTTTGTCAAGGCAATTACCAGGAATTCTGACGATCGGTCAATAAATCAAACCATCCAAATTTCACAGGATTGCAGGATCATCAGCAATATTTTCACAGACTTTTAGTTGACCAAAGACCTGCATAAAGTCTTTTGGATATTTTGTGAAGACTTTTGGTTGATCTTGTTTCACTTCAACAGTTGCAATTAATTTGACACGCTCTTCTTAAACAAACTATCCTGTGGAAAGCTTAGCATTTATTGCGAATTTCGTTATTCGTTTTGTTGGAAGGAGTTTCTTTTATTCCCGCGGGTTTCACGTAAGTGTCTCTGCTTACGGGCCCGTCCAACCCCTTTTGACCCTTCATACAGCAGTATGTTGAATTCAGAATGATGACGGAATAAATGTCAAAATCGGATTCTAGAAAAGTTAGAAATTCGACTAAGATCAAAACCAAAGACCAAAAGTTGTTGTTGTATGGTTTTTGTCAATTTGTAAGTGGCCAAAGTATCAAACATTTCAATAGGTTGCATTTTTCATGAGCTTATTTATAAGACAAATTTCAGAAATATTGGACAGTAATTTTTTTTTTTTTTTATTTATGTTTTTAATCCTTTTTTTTGTATTTTTCACTCAAAAAAACTATAAATAAAATTGCATAAAAAGACTCTATTTTCCACTACAACTTTGTCTCAGCCGACATTTGGATTAGAAGTAACGTTAATGTGCTACGATTTATTGAAAAATGTCGAACACGCCATATTGAAAAAAAAAATGCAAGACATAAAATAGCTTAGTTTTAACACAAATGTGAATCATTGCCCATAACAAACAAGAATGCAAAGTTTCTTGCAAATCGGAGAAGGTCGTATCTGATCAATGAGTCATTTGGCGTGGAACTGCTTATCGCGATTTATTTTTATGAGTCACCGAACCTTGGTATTTTCCCAAGCCCCTGAATATCAAAAAAAAATAAGGTAAGTCACGTCAAACATTTTTTTCGTATTGCGGATCTTGAAATTTCGTACAACTTTCCGTATCTACAATCTGATATATGTTCAGAAATCATTATTTTTCTCCAAACCCCAAAGTTCAAAAAATTCTAAAATCCTCACATCTCGAAGATTGTTTCTTGTTCGCGATTTTGTATATGTTTCAAAGTCTGGGAGCTTGATATTGTTCAAGTCCCGAATTATATTGTGTGACGAAATAGTGTCAGGTTTTAAACGCTTATAACATGACCATTTATGGATGGATTTTTATTGTTAGTACCGTTTAATAAGATGTGATGTATAATTTGTTTGGCTGTAAATTATTGAAAATTTATTAAAATTGTCTCCTTGACTATTGAGTATTATTATTATTATTTAGCTTTATTAAGGAGGCTTTCAGCCTTGGGCTGGTTCGCCTCCAATTCTATTGAGTATAGACAAACTTGGCCGATAGCAAATCTCTACCATTGACTTCAATTCCAGATACCAAAGCACTAATTAAAGCTCAAATAATAGAAGCACACTAACACTAACTTAAATACAACCAAACTTGATGGCCAAAATCAACCACTGGCTTTCTTTTCCAAATCCGGGAACAAAACAACACATTAAACAAAAAAGGAATTATGTACATGTTAAGAGAACCGATAGCAATTTCCTAAAATTGCTTCTTAAAACTTTCTCTTCGAAATTGTAACGTAATGTGCTACGACCTTTGGGGCTGTCCATAAACTACGTAGACAGTTTAGGGGGGGAGGGGTTTGGCAATTATCCACGGCCCATACAAATTTTAATAATTTTGTATGGACAATTGTCTACGCAGGGGGAGGGGGGGGGGTCAAGAATCCCAAAAAATTGTCTACGTAGTTTATGAACAGGCCCTTTTAAGCAAATGATAGAAGATTCAAAATCACTGCTGGTGTTTTGGCGAATGTCCGCGGTCCATACAAATGTTTAACTATTTTATTTGTATGGATGATTTTCAAAGCAGGGAGAGGGCGAATCCGAAGGCGAACCAGTTATGGCACTACTTTAAATGTGCATCCGTATTGGCAATAAAAAGAAATTCAAACTTTTATTTACATCAATTTACTAAACAACAAAACATCAATTTAGAAGTTATGGTTCTGTCGTCCGTAGAAACAGCCATCAATATCATATTGCATAGCTTGGTGAAAGTAATTCGAGCACCTTTTTTTGTTTTGTCCATCCACAATCCGCAATGTCTGTAGTTATTAAAGTTTTCGAAATGATAAATAAATTTCGAGCTCTGATCAAAATTAGATTTTGATCCCCACTCCCATGAACAATAATCAGAAAACAGCAAAAAAAATATATAACCCCGAGTGGAGAGGTACTATACTGAGGTGGATACACTCTGCCATTCCACACTCTGGCTCGTGCTTCGTTCCAGTTGCAAACCTTTCCCTTGTGGTGGCTTCGAAAAGGGGCACGGAACCCCGCTTGCGCTGGTATTTGTGCAAATGGATATATGGAACGGATTCTTCTGCTCTTTGCTGCTGTCTCGTCGAATGTGGTGTACCTTGACCAAAAAAAAATCAGTCTTCCATTGTTTGCCCCTCAAATCCGATTGCCACTGTTTTTTTCATCCAATCGAACACTTCCCCACCACGCAACTACACTTACAGCATCTAGACTAATCATCAAAGCTGACGAAATCAAGCCAAATTACTGATAAAACTAAACGCACTTGTCCGGAGCAAACAAAAAAAAAACTCACACACAGAGAAAATTATGTTCAGTCACTAAAAACTTCTTGCTAAAAGCCAAACGCGGAGTCAAGCGACAAAACAAACCGAACCGAACTGCTGCCAGTGACAGACTAAACAGAGAAACGAAAACGAACAGCGAAAAATGCAACACAAAAGGGAATGAAGAAAATTTTGCTTTCGCGGAGCGACCTATACGCTTGGACGATGAGGTCTACGAATCAGGAAGAAACCGATGAAACGTCAGAAGAAAAAGAGATCCTGAAAATAGAGTCGGTGTAATATAGTCACGCAATAAATCGTTTCACCAAGCGTTCTATGCACAAAACTTCATGTGTTTGACAGGTAGCGAACATACACTCACAAAATTCGACACATTTTAATTGGCGAATTTCCATGTAAAATTCCACATGATTTTCATGTGTCCACACATAAACAGAGTCCGCCCTAATAAACAAATACAATAAACGAACTGTATCCCGGATGGGTAAACTATCCCACAAATGGTTCGGATGATACCCCGAACACGTCGTTAACCTCTCTTTTATGGTTATTTTTATTAGGGCGGTGCACACAGAATTTGAGAACAAATCATTTTGATGAGTATAATATTGTATTCACTTTTAACCTCGCTTTTACCAGTCCATCATCATGAATCATTCCGCATCGAACGTTCGACTGTTTCGGTCTAGTGTTGCCTGCACTCCGTTATCAGTACTAGTTTTTTTCCCTATTGAGGTTTTTTTTTCAATCCGCTTTCACACTGAGTGGTGTTATAGTATACACAAGTGTAGTGAGCATCGCGAAATTGCATTTGCCGCACAACCGTTCGAGAAAGGAAGCAGTCATTTCCGGCCGAGTCCGGCAGATGAGCTGTTCATCTTTAGCCAACAAATTTCATCGCATCACGCCACTGCAACATCAAGGTCATCGAGTTCACCAGCCGGCGAGCCAGCCGGTGCTTTGTTGAAAACACTCGAGGGCAACAATAGAACGATCATCACCATCCTCACATCAGTAGATCATCGTCATCAGCCACACTCCGTGCGCTTGTGTGGAGAGTTAAGTAACAAACGGTTATCTCCCGTTCTCCGCAACCTGATTAATCTCCACACAGCGTTGATTAACTTTTCTGACACCTTTTTGTTTTTTCCTGAAAAAGTTTTCCTTTTTTTCTTTTTCACTTTGGTTTTTTTTTTTTGCTATTAATTTTTGCTGATTAATCTCCTTATAGTGTTGATTAACTTTTCTGACACCTTTTTGGTTTTCCTGAAAAAGTTTTCATTTTTTTTTTTTTCTTTTTTTTTTCACTTATTGTTTTTTTTTTGCAGTCTGATTAATCGCCCTATAGTGTTGATTAACTTTCCTGGCACATTTTTTTTTTTTGCTTTGTTGGATTAAGTATTATTTTTACCGTATATTTCTAGATAAGTTTTTTTTCTTATATATATATATTTTTTTTTTTTTATTATTATTTTCTTTTATTTATTTTTTTTTGTTTTCCTTACGCATATTTTTTTTTTTTTCTTGTTTATGTCGAAATCTGTTGCGGAGGTACTTAAGACCCCGCAATGGATGAAACAAATGATGGCGGGGGTATTTCGCTAGCAGATATCTCCGATGATGAGTCTGTTGAATCTCCATCATTCGAAAATCTGCTTCTCACTGAAGAGAAAATGGATACCTCAGGGGACTCTACTTCGGACCCCAAAACGAGCACTGGAGCTTACCCAAAGGTGATGTCTAAAAAACAGCCTCCTGCACCCCCTGCCCCCCCTTCTCCACCATCGCCCCCTCGTCCACCTGTTCCCCCTACTCCAACCGTTCCCTTAAAAATTTCTGCGACCCCCCGCCATAAAGCTTACCCAAATGGCTCAAAAGGTCCGTGGGTTGTTTTTTTCCGGCCCAAACAAAAACCTTTGAATATTTCTCGGATTTCGAAGGATCTGACAAAACATTTTTCGGCCGTAACCGATATATTTAAGGTGACGCCAAACAAACTGCGCGTTACCGTTGATGACCTGAAACAGGCAAACCGGATTGTTGCCTATGAGCTTTTTACGATGGAATATCGAGTCTACATCCCCAGTTGCGACGTAGAAATCGAAGGAGTGGTCACCGAAGCGAGTCTAACTTGCGAAGATTTCCTTCATGCCGAATCCTTCGGTATTTTTAAAAACCGTGCCCTTCCGAAAGTGAAGATTCTGGATTGCATCCAAATGCAATCAGTGTCTCTCATTGGCACGAAAAAAACGTACTCTCTGTCAGACTCGTTCCGTGTGACCTTTTCAGGATCGGCGCTACCTGACTACGTCGTAATTGGGAAGGTTCGACTGCCTGTACGCTTGTTTGTACCGCGGGTAATGAACTGCTCAAAATGCAAGCAACTTGGTCACACCGCTGACTTCTGCTCCAACAAACCGAGCTGCGATCAATGCGGCGAGCTGCATGCAGATGGTCCTTGCCGGGCTACCCCAAAATGTGTTTACTGCAAGGATACTCTGCATGCTTTGGTTGATTGCCCGAAGTACAAACAGCAGGGAGAAAAACTTAAGCGGTCTTTGCAAGCTCGCTCCAAGAGGTCACTTGCAGAACTCTTAAAAAACACCGCTTCATCTTCCCAAACCACCCCAAAAACCAAAAACACATACTCCATTTTGCCAGATGATGATCAGGGCTCTGACTCAGAGGTTGGTGAAGGTAGTCCCTTTGTGTTTAAAGGCAACACGAGAAAGCGATTAAAAAAAAACGTCACTCAAAATCCGCGTAAGACCTCTCGTATGGACTACCAACCTACCTTGACAAATTTAAGAGGTAGCGGAAATGTACCGAAACCCCCACCACCGGGATTTAAATCTTGTAATTTTAACAAGGACTTTCCGCCACTTCCGGGATCATCTAAAACCCCAGATATCCCAGTTTTTCAGCCAGAAAAACAGCTGAATAATCAGCAAGAACATGATGCCATGTTTACGTTTTCTGGAATTGTGGAGAGCATCTTCGATATATTCAACGTCTCTGACTCAACTCGGAACATTATTAATTTAGTGCTTCCATTCGTGAAAACTCTTTTGAAGCAACTAGCTTCTAGGTGGTCCTTCCTTGCATCGATCATATCCTTTGATGGATAATTTTCCGAATGAGGTCGGGGATATGATCTCTGTTCTTCAGTGGAACTGTAGAAGTCTTATACCGAAACTTGACACATTCAAATTTTTAGTTCACAACTCACTTTGTGATGCATTTGCTCTTTGTGAAACATGGCTTTCTTCAGACACCGATCTCCCTTTCCACGATTTTAACATTATTCGCCTTGATCGAGCAGATTCGTATGGAGGGGTGCTTCTCGGGATTAATAAGCTCCATTCCTTTCATAGAATCGATCTGCCTTCCGTGACAGGCATTGAAGTTGTCGCATGTCAGGTAAATATTCGAGGTAAAAGCCTCAGTATTGCCTCAGTATATCTTCCTCCAAGAACTGCGATTTCTCGCCAAGGTCTCTCAGATATCTGCTCAGCTTTATCTGAGCCTCGGTTGATATTAGGAGATTTTAACTCCCACGGTACAGGCTGGGGGGAACTGTACGATGACAACCGCTCAACCCTGATATACGACCTTTGCGATAACTTCAATATGACAATTCTAAACACTGGGGAAGTAACACGAGTGGCCAAACCTCCAGCAAGAGAAAGTAGATTAGACCTCTCCCTCAGTTCGAGTTCACTATCGTTGGATTGCTCGTGGAAAGTAATTCAAGATCCCTACGGTAGTGACCACTTGCCAATCAAAATTTCTATTACCAATGGTTCATCTTCCACTCGCTCGGTTGACATCGCGTACGACCTCACGAAAAACATCGACTGGCAAAAATTTGCGTCCGCGGTTCTCGGTGGTACTGATTCGGTTGAGATACTCCCTCCGCTGGATGAGTACTCCTTTTTATCGCGACTTATTGTTGACTGCGCTCTTCAAGCACAGACGAAACGCGTTCCGGGTGTTTTCGTTCGCAAACGACCTCTCACTCCGTGGTGGGATAAGGATTGCACCGACGCGAACAGCGAGAAGTCCGCCGCGTTTAAACGCTTCCGCAAACACGGTAAGGTCGAGGATTTCGAGCGGTACACCGACCTCGAGAAAACTTTTAAGAGCTTGATTAAAGCCAAAAAACGCGGTTACTGGCGTCGGTTCGTCGATGGTTTGTCGAGAGAGACTTCCATGAGAACACTCTGGAATGTCGGCAGGAGAATGCGCAACGTGTCATCACCGGTCAACGAAGACAAGGAGTACTCAGACAGTTGGATATTCAGCTTCGCGCAGAAAGTTTGCCCGGATTCGGTGTCGGTTCAAACCAACGTTCGTGATAGTCCGTCGGGTAGTAACGAAATAGATTCTCCGTTTTCGATGGTGGAATTCTCACTTGCTCTCCTCTCATGTAACAACTCAGCTCCAGGAATGGATAGAATCAAGTTCAACTTGCTCAAAAATCTCCCAGACGTCGCGAAGAGACGCTTGTTGAACTTATTCAATCAATTTCTGGAGCACAACATTGTTCCGGATGATTGGAGGCAAGTAAGAGTTATCGCCATTCGAAAACCCGGTAAACCCGCGTCGGATTATAACTCGTACCGTCCCATCGCGATGCTGTCCTGTATACGGAAATTGTTGGAGAAAATGATTCTTTTTCGTCTAGACAAATGGGTCGAGTCGAATGGTTTACTTTCAGATACGCAATTTGGATTTCGGAGAGGCAAAGGAACGAGCGACTGTCTTGCGTTGCTTTCAACTGAAATTCAACTGGCCTATGCGCAAAAACAGCAAATGGGTTCAGTTTTCTTGGATATTAAGGGGGCTTTTGATTCTGTTTGTATCGATGTCCTTTCGGATAAACTCCACGATAGTGGGCTTTCACCAATTATGAACAACTATTTGAGCAACTTGTTGTCTGAGAAATATATGAGCTTTTCTCATGGAAACTCGACAACTTCACGAATTAGTTACATGGGTCTCCCCCAGGGCTCATGTTTAAGCCCCCTTCTTTATAATTTTTACGTTAAAGACATTGATGGTTGTCTTGATGAAAATTGCTCGCTAAGGCAGC